TCCTTAAGCCTTGGTTAGGATAATAGGTTACTAAGGGACATATTTATGGGTGGATTAGATGCTGTGGATAGTTGGTTTAGGGGTTGATTGAGCTTGGCTTGCTTAATGATTCTTGATTGATTGATTTTCGAATTCGTTACTGCACTGCCTCTGTATTTTGTTATTTTTGTAGAGACTTGTGTGGGCTGAATTTGAGGAAGTGTTCCTCATGAAAGTTGCTCATAACATCTTGTAGTATAACATATATTAAATCTGGAATTTTTTTATATCATTTTGGTCCATTCGTAAGTCCATTTTCAGACCGTCACAAAATTGCCCAATTTACTGTTCACCCGACCTTCTTGTCTTTCCGAATTTTTATAAAATTTTCCAGGCCTTGTTTCAACAAACTTCCTTCATAAAACTTGTTAAGAACACTTGTTTATATAGTATATAAAAATTTCAAGGCTTTCCAAAGTGATTTGAGTACTGGATGAGATGCATTTTTATGGTCAGGCGGCCTGACCGGACAAGTTGAATTTCGTCTGAATTCAAGTGACAAAAATAGATGTTTACAGTTGGAACTGGGTTTTGAGTTCTTCACAGAAAATGTTTATCAAGATGTTTTGTACAAGATATCCAAATTTCAGAATTTTTGGAGTTGATTTACTATTTATTTCAAATGGATTTCGATCACTGCACAACTACCCAGTTTGGACCCGGTTTTGTACATTCTTGGTTTTTCTCTCTCTCTCGAGAATTATTCGGTGTTATCGTGGCATTTTGACGGACGTAGTTGACATTAGGCTAATTTACAAAGATAAGTATTGGTAATGATTGATGAGGTGTGTGCATGGTCACGACACATTCCGTCTAGGCGGGAGTTCTAGACGATGCCCAGTGGGAGTTTGGATGTCGTCTGGTACTCGGGGTTGCCGGGGGGTATTCGATCTCAGACGATGCCGATTGTGGTGGAGGCCGGATCGATGCTCCTAAGTGGAACGCCGTTGGGTACCTGGCTTGCTGAGGGGTGTTCGATCCCCAACGTTGCTGTCGCCGATGTAGCGGGACGATGCCTGGTTACTCCAGAAGACCGGCAGGAGTTTTGTGGCCCGAGGGGTCATTAATAATCTGGACTTAATAAGTGCGATTTGCATTGGGGAATGTTTTGCCTGAGTTAATTGATGAGCACGTCTAGATTATTAACCGTGTTATGCATGATTAAGCCTTGAATTGCGTTGTACAAGCTTGATGAGTAATTGGCCATGTTATGGCGGGATTCTAACGTGCAGAGCTTGCGTATGTGCCGAGGTGAGGTAAGAGTGCCTGTGATTGTTATGACATGGTGGATGTCGATATTGCATGATTAGGATTGTTCAGAGGTACACGTTAGCCTAAGCGAGGCTTAGTTGATTACTTATCGAGATTTATCTCATTCCCCGTTGTTAAACATTTTCAGGCTTGGAATGACGAGTAGTCGTGACATGCGGTTCGGAGTTTTGGAGTGATATTGGGCATTTGATGCTTCATTCCTTTTTGGATGCCTTTTTTTTTGTAGAGGAGTTAAGCTTATCAATCACCCAATCCTTTTTGTTGTGTGTGGTTCGTAGATAGTGGTCTCATAGAAGGCTTGCAAATATATTTGTTGTAATCGATGCTCTGTTTATAAAATTGTCTTTTTGATGTGTATTCTTTGTCTCTCTACTATCCCATGGTTTTATTTATTGTATGGAGAGTTTGAGGTTGCTTCCGCATGTGTTGCTCGTTAGTGTTTCGATTGGGTCGGCGACAAATCATGGGATATTGCATACTTGACGACCTCGGAGGGATGTTGCGTGCTTGTTGGGGTTCGGGGCGTGACATGAGCACACGTCGAAAAGTCCTTCTCCAATAACTGCGGCGTTGCCTGTTGGCGATGCATGCCTAAGTTTGACTTTCTCTACACCATTGTTATATGGAGACAAAAAACACAAATCTAACTTTTAAAAGAGCAAATTTTCGTCATTTAGCCAAACGCCAAAGTTCCTACGATCATCATTGAAACTGAAGGCAGATGACCTGTACACGGACAGAGCATTCAAACTCTCAGATTTAAATCGGAAGAATAAATCTCCTAAATTTAGAACTAATTCAAGAGAATTCAAACTCTCAGATTTAGAATTAAATCGAGAGGAGAAAGCTCGTAGATTTAGATCGGGAGAGAAGAAAAAAATAATAAAAAAAAAAGAACAAAAAGACTAAAACAAAATCAACGGGAGGGGAGGATGAGATTAGCTCAAACCCTCCCCATGGTTAAAGCTTGAAGAAGACGATGAAGAAAGAAAAGAGAATAAAAAATTTTAGGCTTCCCTTGCCTTGGAATTTTCAATTCAACCCATGCTAAGCAATTAATTTCTTGATTTCCCTTGTGGGAATCATCTCTCGCCTATGACCTCTGCCGGCCGACTAGGTGGGGCGGAGGAAAAAAGGGAAAAAGAAAAAAAGTAAAAGAAAAGAAAAGAGAAACAAGAAAAATAATTTAGAAAAATAAAAGATTACAAAAAATTTGTCCATGTCAGCGCAAACCAGCGTTGACTAGATGGTCACGTCAGTTATTTACAGTTAAAATTGATCAGAACAACTAAATTAACAAACCGTTAAAAAGGTTTATGAATAAATTAGTAGATCATCAAAAAGTTTAAGATTAAATTAGCATAATTAAAAAGTTTAGAATTAAATTAGCCGTCATACAATGATTCGGGACTTTTTGAATAATTTTTTCCGTTCAATATAGGTAGCATTTTTGTTTTGAGGTAAATCAAAGTCATTCCTTCGTTGTCTTGAAGAGAGAATTTCTATTATGAAAGAATAGGAAAGTTGCAATCTAATTTTCCACCGAGCGTTCTGCCATTTCCCCTCATTTCCGCTGCTTTTGCCGGTATGTCTTTTTTCACGCGTGCCCACTTTTTCTCTCTTGTTGTGCTTTTGTGCGTCCCATGCCAGGCTGCTTTGGTCTGCCAATTCCCTTTTCTATAATCTTTTTTAATTAATTAATTTTCTTGATTCTTTTATTATCATTATTATATTTTATGATAATTTTTTTAATGCAGGTGACACTTTGGAAAAATCTAGGTGCCCACATATAGCAGTAGCACGCCATATTGTCAGCATTTTGTTTTGAGGTAAATCAAAGTCATTCCCAGATTCTCTTGACGAGAGAATTTCTATTTCGGAAAGAAAAAGAAATTCTACGCAAAGATAGCCACCCTCTCTCTTAAACCGAGCATCGGTAGATGAAAGAAAATGGCAATTCGTTTTTCGCAGTACAATCCAAAGTATCTCAAAGGAATAATCAGGATACTCTCAGTGCCAGAGTCTTATCATATTTCAAAAAGATGTTTTCTAATTTTTTTAAAGAATTCAATATACTGAATTTAGGTATAAACTTTTCACCGATCATGAGAATATTTTCTTTTGATTCATTTTTCCTAAGCGATCCAAACGTCAAAAACTACGGAGAATGTTTTCCAACAAAAAATTTCGCGAAATAAACGGACCCTAAATAGTGTATTACGATAGTGAAAGTTAAAAAATTAATGTCAAAAAGGGAAATTAAATTTTGTTGAATTGTTTTATCCCGTCGATAACAATTTATTACAAAACAATGCGCAAGAAATCAAATTAACTTACCATTGAGATACATAGTTTGGTTTCGTTTAGATAGATTGATAAAGCTGACTTTGAAATTTTGCTTTCGCCAAATAAAAACTCATCAACGAGGCCTCTTAGATTTATATCAAGTTCTTCTACAAGAGCTTAATTTAAGTTTTCCTAAATGGAGAATGTTGCGATTATTTAAAAAACAAAAGTATCCATGAATTTAAGTGTTGTGATAGCTAATTACCTGCTCCAATACCAAATAAATAAAATTAAAATTACAGTTGAGCATCAGTCCCGCTTCAACCTAGGAAGTCCCCGTTCTTTGGGTACTAGCTAAAGCCCAACACATGTTTGGTTGAAATCGACACTAATAGGTTCGGTTCCCGGTTCATTATGCTGAACCTACGGATCTGCGCAAGAACTGGTGGTCCAAAGTAGAATCAGACCAAAACGGTGGAGATTGTTCTCTTTCCTCTGTGAGCACTGGATTTGCTTCGTGGTTCCTTCTTTTTTTCTTTGTTTGTTGCTCGCATGTGCACTCATGTTGTGTGCAATTTGGTGGATCTGTTTCTGTCTTGCGCATTTCAAGTTTGATAATGGGCATTGCTTGGTTCTTTCCTTGAAGAAATCTTCCACTTTTATTGGGAATTTTCATGCTCCTTTTTCAGAAAATCGAAGGTCTTCAACTGAACTGAATTGCAAATATTAGTCAATTTCTAGCTGTTTCTTACGACTAAATATTTTTTTTTTTCTGGTGTTCTAACTGTAGCTGCAAAACTCGGAATGCTTAATAAAATGCCCGGAACCGATCACTAGGCGCAAAACTGCAAAAGGAAAATAAAAATCATAATTTTCACATCTGAATTCAAAGACGCATTCTTTCCTACTATATAAACCATAAAAATCCTTTAAAAAAAACTAGAGATCAGGGCCTCTTTGTTTGGCCTTATAAAAGGTAAGAACAACTTTTTTGCTTTCCCATAAAATTTAGTAATATTTTTTTAAAATTTTTGGTGAATTATGAAAAAAATTTATCAGTGAATGTACATGTCAATATTTTCATATGAAAGTTTCAATTGCTTAAGATAAAAGAAAGTCAAGTGCCAGCCCAGCAAAATTTAAAAAACAAAACAAAATATAAAGGTCACTCCAAACAGATCTAAGAAAAAAATTTGCTAATAAAAAGGGGAAATTTACTGTTCAATTAAAATAAATGTAATCATAAAACTTCCAAAAATGTCACTTAAGTTTGAAAACAGCATCGGAAAAAAAAATTAGAGTTTAGGAATTAAAATAAAATTGTAATATCGACTCTCGAGTTGCGTGCCCGTCAAAAAACAAAGCAACGCAAAGCAAAGCATATTTGTGAATTCATCAAAAGTCACGCGGATTGGTTGGGCCATTTGAGAGTTGACGTAGACTCGACTAGGGAAAGTTCTAGGAAGAGACGTCTGAAGAGTAACATAAAAGAAATTCAGTAGTGCCTGAGCCTTTCTTAATCAGGTGCTCTGAGATAGGAAACCCTCGTAAGAAAACACTCGCGAGAATGGACATGAGGAAGAGCTCAAAGCCATCCGCGATTGACTATGAGGTCTTCTTGAGTTTCAGAGGGCCAGACACTCGTCAAGGATTCGCGGATTGCTTATACCATGGTATGCTAGATGCGAACATCCGCGTTTTCTTCGACGAGGAAGAGCTCCACGTCGGCAAAGAAATAGGCGATGAGCTACCGACGGCCATCGAAAAGTCAAAGATCTACATACCCATCTTCTCTAAAGGTTATGCTTCAAGTGCGTGGTGCCTTCGCGAGCTAGCGCACATGGTGGAGTGCAAGATATCCAAACCATCCGAGAAGGAAATTATGCCAATTTTCTACAACGTGGAGCCTCGCGACGTTAAGCTTAAGTCTCAACTGTACGTCGGTGCTATGGATGAGCACGAGGAGAAGTTCGGCCCCCAGACGAGGGAAAAGTGGGAGGATGCCCTCAAAAGTGTTGCCAAAATCAAAGGATGGGAGTTGAAAAAGCAAGGGTACTTATGCGTCCTAAAGCACTCCATTAACTTTTATTTTGGACTTTCACTATATACCCAAGCTTTAATAAGATCTTGTCTAGGCGGTTTGAAATTGAATGTGTGCTTTGAAAACTATTTTTGGCAACGGAATCAACCAAGTCATTCATCCAAACTAGACAAAGCAAGAACCGGGTAAGTATTCAGTCAAAATTCTCTCTCTTTGGTAAGTTTAGACAAAGGAAGGGGCGGTTAGGGGGGTTGTGTTTGGTGGGGTGGGCGGCGTTGGTTAGGGGATGAGTTAATAAATTCAAGGAGTATGTCTTTCGTATTTTTGTGTTTTTCCTCTGATTCTTTCATTGATAGATCCAATTTTTTACATCTTTGTGTTTGTAAATTGTGGATTACTCCGTAAAGTGTAACCTTCTCTCTCCTTTTCGAGAAATTTTTACATGTTATTGGAGAAAGTTTCCCATCCATCCATGTTAGTCGCCCGTCTGAAAGTGTTAGTATTTCGAAAGCAAATACATGAACAAAGCTCTTAATTTCATTATATGATTATTTGTTGAAAATCATAGTGACGTCATGTTCCAAACATACCTAATGTATGTGTCTCTTACTTTTGGGTGCACTAGTCGATTTAGATAGCGGTGCTAACCATGTTGATTGTAATCACTTGCTAAGTGTCATAAGGTTATCCTTTACAATTTTGACTTAGATGATTCACTATTGTGGCAGGCACGGGAAATTCATTAAATCGGTGATATGAGAGATTTTGATGAATCTGAAGATAAAAGACAAATACGTCAGCGAGCATTTAGTCGGAATGGAAGATCAAGTGGAAGCCATTGTGAAGTTATTGGATGTGAACTCTGGGAGCATACGCGTTGTGCTAATCCATGGAATGGGAGGAATTGGCAAAACGACTCTTGCTAAGGTTGTGTTCAACAAATTAAATTCCCGCTTCACTCATTGTTGCTTCCTCGGAAATGTCCGGGAATCGTCCGTCAGCCTTGGCCTCAAAACTTTACAAAAACAATTATTATCTGACATGTTTGGTTCGGGCTTTCATGACGAAATTAACGATGTCGAAGATGGGATCAAGGTGATTGCGCAACAACTTTCTAACAAGAAACTCTTTATAGTTCTCGACGATGTGAGTGATGAGGAGCAACTCAAGAAACTAGCCATCAAGCACATTTCATTTGGCTCGGGAAGCAAAGTTATTTTGACAACTAGGAATAGAAGCATCATAGAAGCTGATCAAACTTTGAAGTACGAAGTGAAGCACTTGGATTATGGTCAATCACTCAAGCTTTTCAGTAGACATGCTTTTGGAAAGAATCCTCTTCCAGATGATTATGTTGATCTTTCGAGACAAGTAGTTTCTACGACCGGAGGGCTTCCCCTAGCTCTCGAAGTCATAAGCTCATTACTTCGTCGCCAAAGCAAAGCTTTTATGGATAGATGTGCTGGACAATCTAAGAGAAATACCTCATGAAAAGGTCCAGGACAAGCTGAAGATTAGCTACAATGTGTTGAGTCACGAGCAAAAACAGATCTTTCTCGACATTGCCTGTTTCTTTGTGGACGAAGACAAGACAAATGCATTCTACATGTGGTGGAAAGATTGTAGGTTTTTCTCGGATTATTCAATTCAAGTCCTTGTCTGCATGTCCTTGATAAAGATAACCAATGACAATAAATTCTGGATGCACGACCAACTAAGAGATCTCGGAAGGAAAATTGTCCTTGGCGATACGAACCTGATGGATCGAAGAAAGCAGAGCAGGTTGTGGGCTTATGAGACGGTCAACAATATCATAAGAACAGAAGAGGTGAAACCATATCTTCGGCCATCCAATTCTATGATTTTCTCAATAGTTCATTTATTAATTAGGAGCCCTTTTTTAATAGGGAGAGAGAGAGTGATGATATTTTTCATTTACTCTTATGCTACTCTATCGTTAAATGGCAGAGAAAGGAGACCATTGAAGCAGCCTGCTTAGGTGGACAGACCTATACGAGCAAAGAGTTTTCAAAGCTTCCAAACATAAGGTTCCTCAAATTAATTTGGGGAAAATTAGATGGAGACTTTGAGAATCAACTTTTAGAATTAAGATACATGACCTGGCAAATGTATCCTCAAGATCTCTCCGCCATCAATTTCCATCCAAGCAATCTTGTGGTTCTCAACCTATCTCGTAGTTACATCACGGAGGATTGGGTTGGGTGGAGTCAAATCAAGGTACCATCATCGCTATATTTGTTTATTTTTATCTCCATTGAATTGTCTCACACTGCTTTTATGTTTTTAACTAAAATTGACTATACCATAACTATATAGGCAACAACTTGTTGTAAATAAAATGGCTCATAAATGGATTAATCGAGGTCATTTCACAAGTAAAACTAAGCTGACTATGCTGGTCTTGTAATCGAGGCCATGAAATTAGATTGTATTGAATTGATATATAGGTGTATATATGTGGATCAAGTTGGATAGGTGTGAGTACTAGATGAACGGATCTATGTGGGTTAAATTAGGAAAATGAGTCAACCCAATTACATCTAAGTTCCAGCACAACCATTTATTGCCTCTAAATTCGCACGGAATTTTCCCTTTACTCTCTTCTAGCTATTGTAACAGGTTGCCAAGAAACTTAAAGTTTTGGATCTCTCGGATTGCTTTTACTTGACCAAGACTGCAGACTTCTCTCATTATGCAAGTTTAGAGAGATTGATCCTTAAGGATTGCATAAGTCTTATTGAAGTTGATCGTTCTCTCGAAAAGCTCAAGTGCCTGATTTACTTCAATGCAAATGGGTGTACAAGTCTTAGGGAGTTGCCTGAAGGAATCGGACGGCTAGAGAAGCTAGAGTACTTGTACTTAGGCAATTGTCGGAAGTTGAAGAAGTTGCCCAAATCATTTGAGAGAGTGGTATCACTAATAGAGTTGGATCTCTCGTACACAGCTATCATGAGATTACCTAACTCCATTGGTAACCAAAAGCACTTGTCAGTACTTAAACTGCAATCTACAAAAATCAATGAAATTTCTAGTTCTATTGGGAACCTACGGAAACTTAAGTCTCTCAATTTGTCGTGTGTTGAAATAAGGGAACTCCCTATGTCGATTGGGAACTTGGAATCGCTACCCGAGTTGGATGTCTCGAATACGCGTTGTCTATGATTACCTGAATCTATTGGAAACCTAAGTAGATTAAAAGTCATCAACATTTCATTTTCTTTGATGACGGAGCTACCGCGGAGCATTGTCGCGCTAAAAGAGTTGGAAGAGCTACATGCCATGGGTTGCTGGTCTTTGAAATGGGAAATTCCCGAGGACATTTGGGAATTATCACTTTTGAGAATCCTTGACTTGGCATCAACCCGTATTAGAAATGTTCCGATGACGATCAAACTACTTCCTCGCCTAGAGAAATTGGGATTATATTGTTGCAGCAAGCTAGAACTATTGCCTGAGCTTCCAACAAGTTTGATAAGGCTAAGCTTTGGATCAAGTTCGCTGCGGTGGGTTGCAAATCTCTCAAACCTAACTAAATTGGCGGATTTGGCCTTCGGTGGTCAGGGTGAGAACAGTCCTTTCTTCTTACAAGACGGTCCATGCCTACAATCCCTTCCACTCCTTCCACCGTCTCTATCAACAATGTCACTTGCATATGATAAATCCACAACCAGTTTGTCATTTGGTTGCAACTTGAGAAACTTGACACGTTTGCGCATTTAAAGGTGCCGTTGGAAGGAAGTCCAAGTCGATGGGCTTGAACAGTTGATTGAATTCGAAGTGGATTGGGTAGAACTCCTCGAGGGATTTGCCGGTCTTTCAAGGTTGAAGAGGTTGAAGCGGTTGACGCTGATCAATTGCCCAAATCTAACTGCGATCCAAGGTCTTAGTCGTTGGAGCAATTGTATATAGACAAGTGTCCTAAGATTGAAAGTCTAGATGATCTATCGGATTTGAAAAAGCTAAAGCACTTGGAAATTGGAGGATGCGATGAGCTTCTGGCAGTTAAGGGCCTGGATGAACTAAAGGCTCTCAAAGATTTGGAATTTATGGGTTGTAGGTCATTGAGAAGTTTCCCTAATCTACTCAATTGGAAAGTACGAGACGAGTGCTCATTAGCAATTCTCAACTGCCCAAATTTAGAAGAAGATTATTTGTTTGAAGGAAGCGTCAGTGAGTACAAACAACGGAAAGTCGGGGAAGAAAAGAAAGACAAGTGAAAGATGAGGCGGCCATTCTGGAGATGAGTGTTCTTCATAATTTGGTGTGTTGTCCTTCCTTCAGTTTGCAATCCACACATATTTGGTGATATTTTCGTTCTGTAGTGCTTCCAGCAATGTTGTCACCATCTAGAAAGGAACGTACAATTCTTCTTTCGAATATGTAGAATAGTATTTTCGGTTTGGATCCACATGATTGTCCAAATTATTTTAAAGGCTAAAATTTAAAAATTTATTGTTTTCCTTCTTCTTTTTTGGCAATTAAGGAGAGAGAAGGAAATATCACTGTATTATTTCTACCTCTTATAACCTATGCACGTTCTATTTGCATAATGTCGATATTAGTGGCTAATGTAAGATTGGTCATTATTGTATTTAACAAGTTTCTCACGTCAAATTTACACATTGAACTTATATGATAGACACAAAATTTAGCAGTCCATTGCTATTTTGAAGCAATTGACTTTTGATTCAGATCTTCAATTGTTGTTCTAAGATATATCTTCACTTGTGGTATGTCAGCAAAAAATAGGTCAATATCACTTATGTCAGTCCTATCTTATTCGTAACTTCTTTAGTTATCACGTTTTTGTCACGAGATGGTAAGAGGACCTTTAATTATTTTTGTTTTCCACGTATGGTTATCATGTATGTTGACCAATCAGTAAAACGTAGGGTAAGTATTCATTCGTGCTAAGATGCGCTCATGAAAGATCCATGAGACTAACTGCTCAATTAGATGATTACCAAAAAACAAGCAATACAAGAAATTTTATTCAGGAGCCTATTGGATCTCCAAACCATTGAAGAGGAATTCATATTTTACCGGTTAAAGATTGATCCAAACTTGGGTGAGACAAGTATGAACATTAAGTTGGATGCGACTCCCAGCTAGTTGTGTGACCAGGATTATTGACGTGAGATATGAGGGCCCAAATGTTCGAATTGTAGGATATCAAAAGAATGTCATAGAATCGTATTCCATGAATATAATTAGAACATCAATAGTTTCGAAGAACTTCTTGATTATAGAAATATTTAAGAGGGATTTTATGTTGTCCGCCATCGACAATCTATTTATACTGCTTGACCGGGTTTGTTTTGCTCGATGGGTATCTCCACTATGTGTGTGCATGACGTTAATCAAGAGATACAAATTGGGCAGATATGGTATTAATGGCTCTGAACGAATCTACAATAATGCTAAATTTCGAACTTCGCAAAGATCTCTTGCACTTTCACGGATGATATGAATATATATTTTCGACCATGTGCACAATGTAACACATTTTCCCCATTATGCAATGGACGATCTATATTGTTCTTGGTCCTTTAAAAGGGTTGGATCTCAATTTTAGAATCGCATCCAAAATTGCAATCAAGTACAAGATGAATCCATCAGCAACTACACATGACAAACAAATGATATTATAAGGTCAATGCACTTGACAAACCCTGCCAAGTTAGAGCAAAAGATGGTCTAGCAACAGGGGATGTCATCATTTTCCACTATAACAATCACCTCAATTGATTACTTTTCACGTTTCTTTCGAAGGTTGGGTTACTAATGAAACAAACCATATGAAACTGGGAAAGTTATACATCTCCTGGGGCAAATGGGGCAAAAGTTACGTAACATTTGTATTGTAGTGTGCACCATGAAAATGCCAGAATGCACTCCACTTTGATGCAATTTGTTTTACCAAACTATCGATATCAACTCACAGGATTTACACACTAAGCCGAGCAAAATCTGCCCTGCCTCCATTGTCAATTATCATCAATCAAATTGGTCGGCTCGCTCAAACGTACTTGGGCAATTCGTACTTCGCAGCTGCAACAATCATCATTGCATGGATTAGATTATGGACAGAACAATAGAGAAGGAAAAGATTTCTAGATGGCAGTGGGCAAGAAGCAAGCAGGGGACTGGGAGAATAGATGGATATAGCACCTCTTTCATCATAGCATACTGTCAAGTCAGCTCTCTGAACAATCACGCCAGCACTATCCACGATTGCTTGGGCAAGCGTTAGATCTACTTCTACTACGGCATGCAGAGCGTCCCATATCTTTGAAAGCCAGAATTAAATTGCTTAACAAGTCTACAACAATGAAATGAAATGAGAGAGAAATAAATTCCTACAGAGATTGAAGGGAAGTTAGTTAATATACAACAGAAAACATAAGATTTGAGTCAATATATTGACATGCCAATTCACGTCAGTTCCTTCACCATCTTCAGCCTCTCTAAAAGTTTCACCACTGAAAATGCACATCAAGATAAGGTTTGAACTTGTGCCCCAGCTAAAACATATCTGAAAAACATGCTCAAAATATGTGCTTCAAACATATCATCCCACTCCACGGAGGCATGCGGAAGCAGGTTGCTATGAAGGTTTCTTCATTCTAGATAAGAAGATGGATGTGCAATGCTTCCAAAAACCCACGAGTGTTAGGGGACACGCATCACATTACTAAGCTAGAGCAAACTCATCCTGCAACACCTCGGTTAGTCAGCAACAAAACTACAAACGCATTGTCGAGAGTGCAAAGAATTGTGACTAGTGGCAAATTAGCTATGGCTACAGGGAGTTGAATTAGTCTAAGCCTATTTTCAAGTACAACATGCTTGGTAGTTTTCAGGCACTTTCTCAAATTGAAAAGAATCTCAAAGTAATCATGTCAAGAGGTTTTCATTAATTAATGCTAGTCGACAATCTCAATAGCAAGTCATTCTTTGACTTACTAAAAACCTTTCATTTACTGGGCGACCTTTTGATATTCAATATGTGCCACGTCTTCTACATTAATAGAATCATATGCAAGGCGTTTGACAAAGCATGGTTCTAAGCAACTTGAAGTAACAAGAAATTACCTCAAGACTTGTCAGCCCACACAACCATTTCAACAGAAGAGAAAGTTTGTTTCATGTAAGAGACTGCCTCGTGTTTAAAACTGACGGAATAATCACATCATAGTTCTAGCCTCTACAAGTTTTAATATGAAAAAAATAAAGGTAAACAAAATCTCCAAAAAGTGTCTACTATACCTTTGGCTATAGAAGTTGGTTTAGTGATGTTATTTTTCTTTAGCTCATAAATGCAACGAGTGACCTTTTTGATAATATATCACTTTATGATAATATATCACTAAAGTTCATGTGGATGTCCAAAACGATGTCGCACAATCCTACGTGGCTCGCTCTAGCAAAACAATGTCATATCAAGTCTAGGCAAAATGACGTGGCACGGGAAGGATAAAATTAGTGCTCGCTCTCCGTCGTTAAGGGAACTCCTCATCGCTCACTCACCATCGCTCGTCATCCACTACAAAAAAATAAGGATTTAGCCACGAAAAATTAGCGATGAAAAATTATTCGTCGCTAATTGCGATAGAATTTGCGACGAAAAAAAAATTCATGACTAATTTGCGACGAAAAATTTTTCACGGCTAATTTGCAACGGAAAATTTTCCGTGGCTAATTTGCGACGAAAAGTTTTCCGTGGCTAATTTGCGACGGAATTTGTGATGAAAAATTTTTCATAGCTAATTTGCGACGGAATTTGTGACGAAAAATTTTTCGTGGCTAATTTGCGGTGGAATTTGTGACGAAAAATTTTCCGTGGCTAATTTGCAACGGAATTTACGACGAAAAAAAATTCGTGGCTAATTTAGCTATGGATTTAGCCACGAAAATAAACTCTTGCTTCACTTTCCCAACTATTTTTTTTGTGGCTAAATACGTGGCTAAATTAGTTGTAAAATATGTCTTGAATTTTATGTACTCGATCCGGTTCATCATTCGACCCGACATATTTTTTGTGCGACCCCAACCCTCCGCGTCACGAACAAATTTCTATGGTGGTTTGCCCAAGCTAGAGTAAGAGAGCAAATGTTGCTACGCCCCCGAAATTTTTTTTTTGAGGAGCCCTATTTATACTGCGGCTAGGTTTTTTCATTGATTTAGCCATGGAAATAAATATAGTAGGAAAATGCCGCGATACTTAATTTTCGTGGCTAGATCCGTGGCTAGATTTAGTCACGGAAATAAATATAGTATGGAAATGCCGCGATAATTAATTTCCGTGGCTAAATCCGTGGCTAATTAGCCACGAATTTAGCCATGGAAATAAATATAGTAGGGAAATGCCGCAATACTTAATTTCCGTTGCTAAATCCGTGACTAATTAGCCACGGAAATTAATATAGTAAAAATTCGGCGTGTGTGGGCAATTCGTGGCTAAATTCGTGGCATTCATGGCAAAAATAAGAACGTCACAGAGCCATTTGAAGAAACCATGGTAAAGTTTTCTCTTCCTTCATAATGATTATTTTTACTAAATAAGTTATAGAAAAGTTTGTCCATTTACGTTCTGACATTAACAATGTTTTACAAATGCAGGAAGGAGGCTTATGATGACAACTGTTACAATGAAATTACACAAATCAATTTCTTTAAAATTCTATTTGATAGTATTCAACCACCGATAATGAATGTTCTTAAAAAGTTCTAAGTTGCTAATCTGTTTAAAAAGATGATATTTAAAAAAAAAATTCCTTTGCAAGGTCCCAAGGTATAATAAGAGTAAACACACTTTTTGATATATTTTCTTCATATTTTGTATTTTATAAATACCTGAATTTTCACTACTATTTCCATGGATTATGATGAAAGTAAAGATTAAGGTTGAGGTATGAAAGTAAAGATTAAGGCTAGTAAAAATGAAATTCGTGGCTAAATCCGTGGCAAATTTGCCATGGATTTAGCTACAAATTTGAAAAAAAATGAATTAGGCGTGTGTGGGCATTTTTTTTTCAAATTCGTAGCTAAATCCGTGGCTAATTTGCCACGGATTTAGCCATGAATTTGAAAAATAGGCTAGTAGAAATGAAATTCGTGGCTAAATCCGTGGCAAATTTGCCACGGATTTAGCCACGAATTTCATTAAAGGCTAGTAAAAATGAAATTCGTGGCTAAATCCGTGGTGACGAATTTCATTAAAGGCTAGTAAAAATGAAATTCGTGACTAAATCCGTGGCGAATTTAAAAAAAAAATGAATTAGGCGTGTGTGGGCAATTTTTTTGAAATTCGTGGCTAAATCTGTGGTAAATTTTAGCTACGAATTTCATTTTTACTAGCCTTTAATGAAATTCGTGGCTAAATCCGTGGCAAATTTGCCACGGATTTAGCCACGAATTTCAAAAAAATTGAATTAGGCGTGTGTGGGCAATTTTTTCAAATTCGTGGCTAAATCCGTAGTAAATTTGCCATGGATTTAGCCATGAATTTGAAAAATAGGCTAGTAGAAATGAAATTCGTGGCTCTAACCACGAATTTGAAAAAAATTGAATTAAGCGTGTGTGGGCAATTTTTTTTCAAATTCGTGGCTAATTTAGCCACGAATTTCATTAAAGGCTAGTAAAATGAAATTCGCGGCTAAATCCATGGCAAATTTGTCACGGATTTAGCCACGAATTTCAAAAGAAATAAATTAGGCATGTATGGGCAATTTTTTTCAAATTCGTGGCTAAATCTGTGGCAAAAGCTAGTAGAAATGAAATTCGTGGCTAAATCCGTGGCAAATTTGCCACGGATTTAGCCACGAATTTGAAAAAAATTGAATTAGGCGTGTGTGAGTTTGCCACGGATTTAGCTACAAATTTGAAAAAAATTGAATTAGGCATGTGTGGGCAATTTTTTCAAATTCGTGGCTAAATTTGCCACGGATTTAGCCACGAATTTGAAAAATAGGCTAGTAGAAATGAATTCGTGGCTAAATCCATGGTAAATTAGTTACGGATTTAGCTACGAATTTGAAAAAATTTGAATTAAGCGTGTGTGGAAAATTTTTTTCAAATTTGTAGCTAAATCCGTGATAAATTTGCCACGAATTTAGCCATGAATTTGAAAAAAATTTGAATCAGATGTGTGTGGGCAATTTTTTCAAATTCTTATCCACGAATTTAGCCACGGATCTTTAAATTTTTTTATATACCCGCTCACCCCGATTTTCTCTCTCTGTTCTCTCTCCCGCTCCCCACCCCCAAACCTCTCAATCACCCCGATTCTCTCTCTCTCTGTTCTCTCTCCCTCTCCCCACCCCCAAACCTCTCAATTCACCCCCAAAATCCAACCTCTAATTTGCTCGCGTCTCCGGCGAATTCGACGCCTCATCGTCGCAAATTCGCAGGTCCGATCCCGAATCCGGCGCTGCTTGTTGCGGTCTCCGGCGATGGCCACACACGTCTAGGGTTTTCCCGGCTCCAAACCCGATCGATTCGGCGGCGCTTCCGACGATGGACGGCAACAATATTCCCCTCCCCCTTCTCGCCGGTGGTTTCCGCCCCCTCGGAGCTCGGAATCAGTGGTTTTCCGGTTCGTTATCTCGAGTTTCTTCCAGCGGCTCGCCTAAATTCGGCGAGGTGCGATCGAGATTCGCCATGGCTAGCTCCGGCGATGGAGAGAACGGCGAGAACCGCTGGACGCGACCGGACCGCGACGAGCCCGGCGATCCGTCGTTGATCGTCGCGTCCTCGGTGGAGTGCGGGCCGAGCTAGAGGGTTTCGAGGGGGGCAGCCGAGGAGATTGGGACTCTAAATCCAGGTTGCCAATCTTAAGTTGTTTCCCCTTTTTCTCTTTTTATGAGGTTTTGACTTTACCATGAAGAGTTAAATTCATAATGTGAAACTGAGTACGTGTTCTCAAAGTTGTGATTGTGAGCTATTCTTGTGATCTCCTCGATTGTTCTAGTAGTGATTCATTTCTATTCTCCCTATGGATATTGGTTGTTCACTGAGTTGTGTGAATGTCTTATACATTATTTTACCATTTCTGCTTGCTGTGTCTAATGATTTAGACTTTTTTAATAGGATCTGACAAATGGAAAAGATACTTTGGTACATGTGTTCGATTTTCAGCACAAAAGATGTGTCGGTTCAAAGACAATTAAGAGTGCTTCCTCTGGTGTGGTATGCTTCTATAACCCGGGGGTTGACATGTTGCTTGGCACTGTTGCAGTGGGTTCATTTGTTCTTCAATTAATTGTTTTAGGTGATTGTCGATGGTACTTATGCTCTACATGCGAGGTTGCGGTCTTTGCTAGATATTCGGGTTGCTGTTGTGATGTGGACATCGAACCCTATCGAGGAGGAGGTGCTAGGGACTCGTTATTCTATCCGCTAGGCCCGATCACTCGAGCGAGAGCGAAGGAATTCAAACAAGCTGTCGGTATCATGGTTCAAGATATTTGGAATGGAGACAATCTGGATTCGAGACTTGAAGATTTTGAAGCTCCTTGGCGCAACATGATTACTCTTGGTCCAGCGAATTCCGAAGGAGCTTAGAATTGACGAATACCGAATTGGCTCAAATTTGGATGGATGCTTGGAAATGGGCCGCTGATCAATAATCACTACTTTAGTAGTGATTGATGATGTTTTTTAGCGATTTGGAGTCGTTTAGATGAACTTTTAGGCCCTTTTTCCATTTTTGGACGAATTTTTAGCAATTAAGGTTATTTTTATAATTTTAATCCTAGTAGGATTAGGATTAGGATTAGCATCCTATATAAGGTTGCTTATAGATTTCTAAGAGGAGAGACAGAATTTTATATAGAGAAGTTTTCTTATTGAGTTCTCTTGAGGACTAGATCTTATCAAGGCTCCCTTGTGGCGATCGAATTCAATTTATCGAGCAAGATCGTGAATTCTCTTGTTCGTGGCATTATAGCGTGGATTGGTTGACACAGGTTCGTCGACAGATCGCGTTCATACCGAGATTACCAATCACAGGTTCGATTGGGGGTCGAGGTCAGCAATTCGTAACTCAAAGATCTTCGTAGAACGATCATCTTCCGCATAGATTCATATCATCTGGTATCAGAGCCAGTTCTACAAGGTCTAGTTATCCTACTTTTACTGCTTTTCATTCATCAATCTAGGGTTTATAGAAACTAGGGTTTATAGAATTAGGGTTCTGAATTTGTTCTTGCTGTGATTTCAATTTTAATTTAGGGTTTTCGGTCCTAGTTGTTTTTTTTTATATTGTACTTGAGTTCGTAAAAAAAAAGCCAAAAAAAAAATCGGCAAAAAAAAGCAATTCGTGAATGGCCGACACCTAAGACAGTAGGAGAGGTGCGCAGCTTTCATGGTTTAGCCAGTTTCTATCGTTGATTTGTAAAAGATTTCAACACCATCGCCGCACCTTTAACCGAGGTTATCAAGAAGCACGTGGGTTTCACTTGGGGAGAAGAGCAAGAGAGAGCATTCAATCTGTTAAAGGATAAGCTGACTAATGCTCCTTTGTTATCTTTACCGAATTTCAGTACTACTTTTGAGATAGAATGCGATGCTTCTGGTACAGGAATTGGAGCTGTGTTGATGCAAGGAGGACGTCCCATAGCGTATTTTAGCGAAAAGTTAAGCGGAGCGACATTGAATTATCCGACTTACGATAAAGAAATGTATGCTTTGATGCGAGCTTTGGAGACTTGGCAACATTACTTGTGGCCAAAAGAGTTTGTGATCTACACCGACCACGAGACCTTAAAGTACTTGATGGGGCAGCAAAAGTTGAACAAAAGACATGCCAAATGGATGGAGTTCATTGAGACTTTTCCATATCTAATCAAGTACAAAAAAGGTAAGGAAAATGTGGTAGCCGATGCACTTTCTCGAGGGTACGCAATTCTAACTACTCTAGGAGCAAAGTGTCTAGGTTTCGAGCATATCAAAGGTTTATACGCTGACGATGATGATTTTGGAAGAGTATTTGAAGCTTGTGAGCATGCTGCGTTTGAAAAGTTTTATAGGCATGATGGATATCTCTTTCGTGAAAATAAGTTGTGTTTGCCTAGATGCTCTTTGCGCGAGTTATTAGTGCGAGAGGCACATAGTGGTGGTTTGATGGGGCATTTTGGAATCAATAAGACTTATGAAGTGCTGCATGAACATTTTTTTTGGCCACACATGAAACGAAATGTCACACGAGTTTGCGAGAGATGTATCGCATATAAGCAGGCTAAGTCTACGATTAAACCACATGGTTTATATACACCTTTGCCTATCCCGATGCATCCTTGGGTTGATATCTCTATGGATTTTGTGTTAGGATTGCCTAGGTCTAAGCATGTCAAGGATTCTATTTTTGTGGTTGTTGATCGATTTTCAAAGATGGCTCATTTTATACCTTGTCATAAATCTGATGATGCATCGAATGTTGCTAAATTGTTCTTTCGTGAGGTTGTGCGTTTGCATGGCATGCCTAGGTCCATTGTTTCTGATCGAGATACTAAATTTCTAAGCTACTTTTGGAAGACATTGTGGAAGAAGTTAGGTACACAACTTTTATTCTCTATTACTTGTCATCCACAAACTGATGGTCAAACTGAAGTAGTTAACAGGACTTTAGGGATATTGTTGCGTGCTATCATTAAAAAGAACATTAAGTCTTGGGAAGATTGTTTACCGCATATTGAGTTTGCTTATAATAGAAGTGTGCATTCTGCTACTAAATTCACACCGTTTGAGGTTGTCTATGGTTTTAATCCCTTAACTCCGTTAGATTTAACTCATTTGCCTGTTGCTAAGCGTGTGGATTTAGATGGTGCTAAGAAAGCTGAATTTGTGAAGACTTTGCATGAGAAAACACGGCTGAATATTGAGCTTAAGACAGAGCAGTATGCAAAGCAAGCCAACAAAGGGCGCAAGAAAGTAGTGTTTGAGCCCGGTGATTGGGTTTGGGTTCATATGCGCATAGAGTGTTTCCCCAAACAGCGACGCTCTAAATTGCTACCGCGAGGGGATGGACCATTTATGGTGTTGGAAAGAGTCAACGATAATGCTTACAAGCTTGACCTTCCAGGTGAGTATGGTATTAGTGCTACTTTCAATGTTTCTGATTTGACTCTTTTTGATGCAGACGCTGATTTGAGGGCAAATCCTTTGCACGGAGGAGGGAATGATGTGGACATCGAACCCTATCGAGGAGGAGGTGCTAGGGACCCGTTATTCTATCCGCTAAGCCCGATCACTCGAGCGAGAGCGAAGGAATTCAAACAAGCTGTCGGTATCATGGTTTAAGATATTTGGAATGGAGACAATCTGGATTCGAGACTTAAAGATTCTGAAGCTCCTTGGCGCAACATGATTACTCTTGGTCCAGCGAATTCCGAAGGAGCTTAGAATTGACGAACACCGAATTGGCTCAAATTTGGATGGACGCTTGGAAACGGGCCGCTGATCAATACTCACTACTTTAGTAGTGATTGATGATGTTTTTTAGCGATTTGGAGTCGTTTAGATGAACTTTTAGGCCTTTTTCCATTTTTGGACGAATTTTTAGCAATTAAGGTTATTTTTGTAATTTTAATCCTAGTAGGATTAGGATTAGGGTTAGCACCCTATATAAGGTTGCTTATAGATTTCTAAGAGGAGAGACAGAATTTTATATAGAGAAGTTTTCTTCTTAAGTTCTCTTGAGGACTAGATCTTATCAAGGCTCCCTTGTGGCGATCGAATTCAACTTATCGAGCAAGATCGCGAATTCTCTTGTTCGTGGCGTTATAGCGTGGATTGGTTGACACAGGTTCGTCGACAGATCGCGTTCATACCGAGATTACCAATCACAGGTTCGATTGGGGGTCGAGGTCAGCAATTCGTAACTCAAAGATCTTCGTAGAACGATCATCTTCCGCACAGATTCATATCATCTTGTAATTTCTTTTTCAAAAATTGCACGACTCATTTGATTCGTTCTTAAAGATAATTGTATGATCAGATTCGTCTCTTCTCTGGATCAGGTTGGTGGTGTCCATTTTAGCCTCCTTTCAAAGGTCCAATATGATATTGGAGACTCTCGTTCACTGGATTCTCTCATTGACAGCATCTTTCCATTGTTTAGGAGACACATTGAGCCAGATTTACACCATGCACAGGTTGGTCTTTCATGTTTGCCATTTTTAAGCTTGCTGTCCTTGCTTATTTTTTGGACTTCTATGCAGATTAGAATCAACAATAGCTTTGTTTCATCATTCAGGGAAGCAATCTACAAGATAAAATGCAGAAGCAATGTTTGTATTGTGCAATTTTCAAATTTAAATCTGGGAGAAATCATTACCTTCACTAGGATAAGACTTTGACCTCATTCATGTTTATTTGCTTACTTTGTCTTTTTGTTTGAGTGTGTATTTTGGTCATATATTTCTTGCCATCTATTACAGTGGATCTCTAATGAGTGCTAGTTCTGCTCTAGCTTCTTCTCCCTGTACATTTTTTTAATTTGTGTACGCCACTACTCTGTCCCCCCCCCCCCCCCAACAGTAAAATTCATATAGCAAAAAGTTATCCTGTGTAAACCATGAAATGCAGGTATAAAAGAGTGAGGATAGTTAAAATCATGATGGAACCTGTCCTATGTTAGTCATCTCAGGGTACAAAAGTTCTGAGACGGTCACTGTTTTGGTGAACCTTTCTATGCGTGACCATACGAAGGGGCCTATTACTGATATGTCGGACAGTAATTTATTTTGAATTCAGGAATTGCAATATTAAAGTAATACTCTGAAAAGACTAATTGAGTTTAGTGGGACTGATGCAGAGTTATGATCCAATGCTTATATGTAAACCCCATTGGGACTTGTGAGTACTTTTTTTTTGTTTAACTAACAAAAAGAGGCAGTAATCTACTTCCTTGTTATTCTTGACACATTTTATTGTTCGATACTTTAGTTGTTCTTGGGATTCTTTAAAATTTGTTTCATGGTGTATAATCAACAAACTTTTTCGTCAATAGTGCCTTCTTCACAAGTAACTACTGTTACTTGTGATGTGTATTTACATCATGATTACTTAAAATGCTGTGTTAAGAGTATGTCGTACTGAAAGTCATGATCCGTGGTAGTTTTTCAAGAAGTTATAAACAAAACATGCTATTATGAACGCCATCCCCTGTTTGAATAAATTTTTCCTATGTGTTTTGTGGTGGGAACTTTGAATTAATAGTGCAACATAACGTTACAGTCTCCAGATTCCTTTCCTGCCCAGGTTCTCCAAGGAAATGAAGCTCAAACAGATAAGTAAGTATATCTGCAAGCTGCTACTCTTTTGTAACGAGTGAACTTGGTTGTGGGGGGTGACATCCTCTTTTGCTTTTAGCTTTATTGAGATGTACCTGAGACCTCCATCAGCCAGTGAAGAAGCACGAATAAACGATTGGATTAAGGTGCGCCAATCTGGTATTAGGTACTATCTTTCCCTGGGTGACCAGAGGATTGTGGACAAGCATTTCATTATCCGACCCAAAGCAGAGTTTGAGGTAAGAAACATCTCATATTTCATTACACTAAATAGTCGTCCTTTGAGTTGACTTGATGATTTACTATGCTGATGTCTTGTCCTCTTTATCAGTTTTGTAAGGTTTCTATTTCACTCCTATGAACCTTGACATGCAGCTAGATATAGCATTTGAGATAGTTTTCTTCTGCAATTTGAGAATTGGCATATGTAAGAATCAACTTACACACATATATTTGGTAGTAGCCATGAGAGTAACATTTCCATAGAATATTTCCAAACAACTGTATCAAGGAATTATGAAGATGGAAACTTTTGGTGGTACTCCGATTAATAGTCATAGTTGCTTCATTTTTTAAGTTGTCAATTTGTATGGCTACAAATAATTATGTTTACTCAATGCTGCATGTTAGATAATTGTCTGATCTCAATTGATAGCGTCATTTCATGGCTTTGACTAACTTTGTCTGAGCAGACTTGTCTTTTGCAATTTGGCAATTCAATAAAATTATTGACTTTGGCTGATTTTTTATCCTTGAGTTGTGTTCCTACTAAAATTCTGATGAATTGAGGGGCTATTCAGGTCTGTCTCTCTTTGATCTTATATTGAAACAGGTTGGATGGATGACACTAGGTGGATTGCTGCCTCTGGGTTACACAGTTGTGGTCAGTTACAATTCGTGGCAAATTAGCGACGAATACAATTCGTGGCAAATTAGCCATGAATTTTGCCACGAATTTTTGTTTTTTTGGGGCAAAATTAGCGACGAATTTTGCGACGAATACAGTTCGTTGCAAATTAGCCTCGAATTTTCCCACGAATTTTTTTTATAAAAAAAAATAGAATATTTTTTTTTGTTTTTTTGGGGCAAAATTAGCGACGAATACAGTTCGTTGCAAATTAGCCTCGAATTTTCCCACAAATATTTTTTTTTGTTTTTTCGCGGCAAATTAGCAACGAATACAATTCGTGGCAAATTAGCCACGAGTTTTGCCACGAATTTTTTATAAAAAAATAGATTTTTTTTGTTTTTTCGAGGTAAATTAGTGATGAATTTTGTGACGAATACATTTCGTGGTAAATTAGCCACGAATTTTGCCACAAAATTTTTATAAAAAAATAGAATTTTTTTTTGTTTTTTAGGGGCAAATTAGCAACGAATTTTGCAACAAATACAGGTCGTGGCAAATTAGTCACGAATTTTGCCACGAATTTTTTTAAATAAAAAAATAGAATATGTTTTTTTGTTTTTTCGGGGCAAATTAGCGACGTATACATTTCGTGGCAAATTAGCCACGAATTTTTTTAATAAAAAAATAGAAATTTTTTTTTGTTTTTGTTTTTCGCGGCAAATTAGCGACGAATTTTGCGACGAATACAATTCGTGACAAATTAGCCACGAATTTTGCCACGAAATTTTTTTTTAATAAAAAAATAGAATATTTTTTTTGTTTTTTCGCAGCAAATTAGCGACGAATACAATTCGTGGCAAATTAGCCACGAATTTTGCCACGAATTTTTTTTAATAAAAAAATAGAATATTTATTTTTGTTTTTTCGAGGCAAATTAGCTACGAATACAGTTCGTGGCAAATTAGCCACGAATAATTAGCAACGAATTTGTCGCGAATAATTAGCGATGAATTTTGTCACGAATTTTTTTTCGTCGCTAAATTTTGCGACGATGTATTAGCGACGAAATTTTTTCATCGCTAATTTAGCGACAAATTTTGCCAAATTTTTCGTGGCAAAATTCGTGGCTAAAACCTTATTTTTTTATAGTGATCGTTTGCTCAGTCGCCGTTGTTGCTCGCATGCTATCTTTGTAAACCCTAGGTTTGTCATCTTCTCTCCCTAGCTCAATTGGCTGGAAAAATTAGGGCTCCAAGGGCAAAATTAGGGCTCAAAGGGAAAAAAATAAGGTTGTTGGTGCAATTGTGGGGACGACAGTACTAGAGAAGGAATTGCAAAACAATGAAGTTGTGATTGTGGGGACCTCAATTTGTTTAATCAATTCAGTCCGTTAACCTTGTTGCTTTGTTTCCATTACACAATAATTATTAAGTCATTCTTTAATTAATTAATTATGATTGTGGGGACCTCCATATGAATCATTCTTTAATTAATTAATTGTGATTGTGGGGACCTCCATATGAATAACATGGACATCAGGCATTGACCTCCTTTCTATTTGAATAACATGTCCCAATATAGTTTCGATAGGTGGCCCTAACCTTGGGTTCATTCCCTAAGGTCAGTACACCATTTCATTTCTGTATGATACCTATTCGGTTCATATTAAGTCCATTTGCACATAAGCATGGGTCTAAGCAACTTTAAGCAACAAGAAGTTTCCCTCGAGACTTGTCATCCCGCACAATCATTTCAACAACAATTAAAGTTTGTCCCATCCCTCCCTCGTTAACATAAGCATGCGTCTAAGTAACTGCTTGATTAGATGATTACCAGAAAAAAAGAAAGCAACATCACTAATTGACAACTTCTAGTGTCAAAGGTATAGTGACCATGGTTACTCAAATCTCATCCCTCCCTCGCCAACCATAAATACAATTGCAATCCTTGGTTACCGCGGCCCGCTAGACCCTCCCAAGCTCGAAGTGCATATTGGCGTGTCTAGCCATGCGGTTCCTCTTTCGATCTCGGCCCAGCCAATTTTGTATGTGTTTCACCGAAAAGGTGAAAAATCTAATATAAGGATGGAAATTGATGGATTTTTGCGAACGTGGTTTGTCGTTACTTTTTTTCAAGAAAGTAAATGATTTTTTTAAAGTAGAGGTACTTAAAGGGTACGAGGATAATAAAAATGCCGTAATTTAAAAGTTCTAAAGGAGTAAATTTGCTGGAATATAATTAACGTCTGAATTATTGCCGGCATATCGAACATGCAGTTTTGTAAAAAAACACAAAAATAAAAATTAACAAAGAAATAATAAAAATAGTAAAAAATAAAGAACCCTCCCCAGGCCATCCATAAAGCCCGATCGCTTCAGCTCCAGTTGCTTCGCCATCTTCATTCAACACAAGCACACTTCAGCTACACGACTGAAGCTCCTCTCTATGGAGGAGTCGTCTTCCCCGCAACCACAACCCTCCATGGACGAAGCTCTTCCCTCTTTGCCGCCACCGCCGCAGGCTCAAGCTCAGCAGCAGGGACTGAACCATGACTCGCTCCTCGCCCGACCAATACTGCTATGATCTTCATCAACGAAATCGAAATTACTCATTCTGACATGTTTAATGCCGTCGTCGTCCACGGCCTCCAAGGCTTCACCACGCTACTGATATTCTATTCTCTTGCAACATCGAGAAGATAACGTCTCTGGCGTTCCCGTTCCAGCAGCTGCTGATATTTCTATTCCCCGTGGCCTCGCATGTGCCTCATCTCGTGCGACGCGAGAGCTCGATGATCTTCACCGTCGACCACTTCTCGATTTTTACCAGAGCGCGAAGCTACATCAGCAATGTGCGGTTCCACGTCGTGCCGAATCAGTATCTTGCGATGGCCTCGACCTCTTCAAATCTTCAGGTGAAAGTTGTTATAGCTCAATTGATTGAGTCAGGGGATGTCTAAATGCTTCTTTAAGTGGAATGCATTGTCCCCGTTCTCTCTGTTTTGAGGCGGGAGGAAGTTTTTCTTTAGCTATGGATAATGTAAGGCGACTGTTTAAAGAAATGCCTCAGAGGGATTGCTTCGCTTGAAACATGATAATGATCATCTGTTGGTGTCTTCATCGGCTTTATTCAAGGACTTTTGAGTCCGTTGCACTTGGGTAGAATAAGCTGAATGAGGAGATTGAATAAGATTTCGGTCAGTCATTGACTGGATTTGCATGCTGAGTGTTTTGGTGGATGGGATGAGCTGCAGGGGAACAATTCATAGGGAAGTCACCCCCCAGTTCCATAGAAACCGTGAAAACCATAGATGAACATTGGCAAAGTATAGTACAAAAGTGAGTAGAGACGATGAAATCCCCGATTCTGGAGAGTGAAGTGTTCTGGTGATTTGGTTACGCTAAAATTTGAGTATACCAGCCGCTTTGCTTGATCTTGCTTGGTTGGGAATCAAGGAAACAAGTCGCTCCCTGAGGTCGGGAAATATTTGCTTGTCGCTATATCGGGTTACTTCGATTGTTGATGATTCTTCATGTTGAGGATCGCTTGCCAAACCTGTGACAAAGAAAAAAGAATTGCCATATTCGAGAGACCAATATGCATCTCATGTGGTTAGACTGAAAGCTCCAAATCGAAGCTAAGTTCCCTGTTCTTCTTCTATTTCTGTTCTCCTATTTCATATTGGAGAGACCAATCAAAACATTTTCAACATGCACCAGAAGTTAAACGGCTCGAAGCCGAGTCGTCATGGGCCGAGATTTTGTCATAATATCTTTGCGCGTTGCCTGCTTCCCAACTTTTATTCTATCCATCGGTCATTGACAATTCCATCTTCGTCAATTCAAGGACCCAAAAACAGGTAATCGATCATCGAATCTCTTTCTCTCTCTATCGATGTATGTGCGCGTGTTTCGGTACTCAGTTGCCTTTGTTCCCTCTAATTGCTTGAAAATTCCCTTGAATTACTGATTACCTGTGATGTGAACTTGCTGGAACTACAGCATCTGGTGTTGATGGGAACTTATTTTAAAAGTTCAATTGATGCTCGACAACTATCGATCGAGAGAAGAGAGGTTAAAAGAAAATTAATATAAAGAGTGGAAATTCCCAGTAGAGTGAGAAGTCATTAGATGAAGTTCTTGGTGAGAGAAAAGAAATAAAAGAGGCATTCTTGTGAGAGGGAGAAGAGAAAAGAAATTATTGCTTGTCTTGTCCTATGACTGGATTCACGATCAGAATGAAACCCGTTTGTTGTTGTGTTGTTTCTGTTCATCCCCATTTGGGAGTATATTGTGATATTTTTAAATCTCATTTGGGTGTATTGATAGGCGGTTGATTTTCTAGACATTTTCATATGTTTCCACATCATTTTCCAAGTGAAGCTTGGTCTACTGTTACTGTCTTAATGCTGGACGATCCATGTCATGCGCGAATTGAGTGAACTCTGACCCTGTTCAAGTATGGTCTTCATTACTCATGATGAGGTGTTCACATGTGATCTTTTTTTTTGGTCAATGTTCACATGTGGTTGATTTCCATTCATTTTGGCATGTTGAGACGTTATACTTATAGGTGAAATGTGGCTGTGCATGCTGGTT